TGTAATCTGGTGGATTAGTGTTATCTCACTAGTGATGAAATCTGGACAATTCAGATTGTCTGTTTTACAAGATGAGAGAGACCAGCCAAATGTGTTTGTCCCGTCGTGTGATCTGCACATCCTGGTTTAAACTGACAGAACCATTGGAGTCAGTGACTCAAGGAAATGCATTTGTAGCCCTTGCTGTCGGTGGGAGATAAAGATGATCAAAGGCCAAAGTTGTTTCTATGTAACATTGATGATGCTGTCAAAAATGTCTTTTTGGTTCTGTTCATTTACATATGGATTGTGTCGTTCAATGTACATGTGTTGTTGATTTTAAGAAGTGCATCATGTCAAAATAATTGCAAATGCTTTTCATTAATTTGCCTTATATTTTGAGGAACCTTGATCTCTAAATATAGTTAACATACTATCCACACAAATAACTCTTAAAACAATTTAAGATTTTCATTAAAAGTCCTAAAAAAAATTGATAGAAATTATGCTATCACTTCCAATTTAATGTACACAAAACTTGCATGTCAGAAAGATCCCAAAAGGGAGGGTAACCTTAGAAGTAAATCATGAGAAAATCTAAATCTTGCAAGTGTTTCACTTGCATTAACAGCCTCAAAATAATATGCATGCCCATTACAAATCAATTTTGACAGCCAACATACAGATTCTAGTTTCATTTTGGTGTAAAATTGTAAGACTACACAGTCATGTGTTGATGTCTGAAGCCTGAACTAGAACATTTATAATGCATTGTTTTGTACTGTCAGGTCTATGATAAATTGTTATCCTCGTTTCATTATTTGATGTTTATTTTCCCTATTGTCTTTACCAGGGGTAGGGTACCTGTTGTTTGTGGCCCATGCTCGCATCACAGCCCAGGACATCCGCTGCAGATTCTATGGCCCCTGTGCAGTACAGAATGTTTCACTCAATGGTGTTCAGCAGCCACCACTCACAGAGGTACATACACTAGCACGTAAATTGTTACTCTTTTTCATGAAGAGAGTTTCTTAAAGAACCATGTTTTGTTGCTTTGTTTATGAATGGGGATCATTTGATACATCAATATGCATTACACAAAGTGTGTACGTCGGGTCGAGTGACATATGAATATACAATTTCATCACATGGTTGTACTGTTAAACAACCCAAATCACTCACTCCGTCGTAGCTTGACAAAAGGACCATTCGGTCTTGTAATGTTACAACACATTTGATACGTACATTATGTATAAAGTAGAACTTAATAATAATATGCATTATGTTTCTCTCCTCAGGAAGCCAATTTTGTGTTATCCTGTTGTCCACTTCAACATGGAAGAAATGAGGTCATCATCAACACAGTACCAGCTCCAGGTTCAAAGGTTGGTATTATGGAGGTCAAAGGTCGCTGATATATGTTTAAAAAGATGTGTATAGTAACATTATCATGTATTATGTTGTTGTCCAAATTTAGTACAGTGTACACCTACAACACGCTCTGTTGTTTAAGGAAAATTCATGACAGTTACATTCATTATCTTACCACTGAAACAAAAACTAAAGAATAGCAAGAAACAGGTTTCCAAGTCCCCTTTTATTGATGGTATATAAGATTATTTTTTTAAACCGTAGCAATTGGAAAAGCTGGTCTCGTATAAAAAGAAGTGTTTTAAATAGGCCCTGTGTGAAGATTTGAATACAGTGGCATCTCATGCTTTGACAGTCTAAACTTATATTATTGTTTACTTGATTACACATTCAAATGAAATGTAATCAATGATAAATGTTAAGATGTTTTGAAAGAATGTTTTCTTCTTGCAGGCCAAACTGGTAGTGTGCGCATACAAAGCACAGCTAATAGACTCCTAGAATCGTGTGAAGAGATTGTAATGTCCCGGACATGGACCTGTATGGGGAATGTCCCCACACACAAACTCGTTGGGGGATGAGTCAAGTGTCCTGGACAGAAGAAGGAAATCTCCACCGACTCCGTACCTGTTGATCTCATTCATTGACTTGTGTTTCCCCTTCCACTGATCTCGCATATGAAGACAAAATGGAGAAATGATAATTGAAGCCGTCATTCTGAAGATTTGATGTTGACAAGTTTGAACAACAGTTGGAACCTAGTTCATGTTTGTTCGTAAACTTTAATAGTGTGTTAAAATTCAGGTATGAGGGATTTGTGATACAACAGACTGACACACAGGAACCAAGCTCCTGGTCACCTTAAGAGTGTTTACATGTGTGAAATAATACAGATGTGTGTACAGTCGCTGCTGATACTATGACTTGTTGATCTGTACAGTATTTGTGATCCTTTGCCACTTTACAACTTTCAAATCTGTGACCTCTGTAAGGCTCGGTTGCTACTTTTTTTTTTTAAATGTGTATGAATTTGGCAGAGTTCTGTGTTTGATTTGTGGTCCGACTGCACACTGACAAATATTTGAAGGGTGAGAAATGAATCCATGTGAGGGAAAATATCTTCTATATTTGTTGGTGCATACAACATGCCAAAATCTAATCAGAAGGTGAAATAATGAAATTTAAAGTTGTGACTCTAGCCCAGGCCATTGGTCGAAATATGAATGTATATAGAAAGGCCAATAAGGTATGGTATCTGCAGTTACTATGTACAGGTACATGTTTGACAGGTGTGTGTAGATATGTACAGATACATGCTAAACCAGTATTTACTTGTAGATGCAAGATACAGTAAAACATGTTTATAGCAAGGCTCGGGGACCCAAGTACTGTGTTCATTAGAATCGTAACTTGTATATGGTTAAACAAGTAACATTACTATAAGAGGGTTCAAAATGAGTTTGTACTTAGTGCTTATTTGTTACAAATATGTTTGCTGCAAATATAGTTTACTGTATATCAATAACACAGGGCAAGTGTAGTATGTGTGGTACATACTCTGTACGTGTTACATTAACAAGTTGTGTGTGTGAAAGCAGGTGGAATATTGATGTAAATTTTTACACATCCAATGTTTTGTACAGTTAATTATACCAGTACAACCATGAAACTATGTACATCTTACCCAGCATCTGTATATACTAGAATCTATCACTACACCAGTTACCAATGTACGTACCTGTATAAACATAAGAACTAAGGAGGGCAATCAGGACAGGTGTACAATACATTATACCTATCTCATTCAATCGTAAACAGTATATTTTACCTGTACAGAGCCAGTATTTACCTTTTAAGAGTGATATTAATTATGTACAAACTCATGTTGGATATTGTTAACATCCCTTTGAATCATCACTATATGCATTACAATGCAAACAGCTTCGTACATTATCAGGCGACATCCCAGTGACATCCCCATCATGCCAATTCTACACAGGATTGTTATCCAATTAATCTGTATTTCTGGAAGTCTTCTCGACAGATGAGACGTAATCTGTCCGGCTCATATGATCCTGTCTACTTGATAAATAAGATCGAAAAAGGTCATAGCTATGGTGATCAGATTTCAAAAAAGTGAACACTGTTTTAATGATCTAGAATAAAGTTTGATTTGTTGACAAAAATCAAAGATTGGAAATTAACATACAACTGAAAAATATTCTAAGATTATCAGATTTGTTAGATTCCAAAATGATGAATGTAAATGATTGTGATATTTTAAGTGATGGTTACATACTGTGCCCTCACTGTCTTTGCTAATTGTATATATTTCTCTTCATTGTATTGTTAAATAAGCCCATTCTAGTTGACATATAGTAAGCTCACCTTTAATTAAGTATTCATAGAATTATTCTAGAATTTTATGGAAATTAAATTTTTATTGTCTGGAATTTGGTTGAAAACTTTCAATTAGAAACTGAAAATAATTTTGAGAAATTTGAAAATTAAAATTTAAGCAACAATTTGGATTTAGGAATACTATCTCAAATATAATTGTTAGACTAACACGGAAAGTTTGTAACATCAGATTTTTTTTCATAAAGTATCCCCAGTATGTTTTGTATATTTTCCTTAGTATATATTGCAGTGATTATGTGAAGTTATGTATTTTTGATAGTAAATATTGCTCTGTAGCATCAGTCTTGTTGGAAAGCAGTTAATTTGTGATGTGGGCTACATGGTGCTTTTCGTTTGCAATATTATAAAAAAGATGTTCTGGCACCACCCCTAGTAGGATGCCGAGTGTTTTGTTATAACTTTATGTTATGTAGTTTTGTGGATGTGTTTGTGTTATGTTTAGTCATATACACTCCATTAACCCTCTCACCCCTGTAGACCATAATCGACTTAGCCAGATCATTGCATGGCAACGTCTATTTAAGTTACATAGGGGTGAGAGGGTTAAGTTGTTTATAACAAAATATATCAATAACTATATAAGGTGGCACAATTTGTACAAAATATAGTAAACAACAAATTATTTACATATTTGCTCAACGTTTTTCATTCTTAATTCTTTATTAAAGAACAGAAATACTAAAAGCACAGTGGCTAAAATTAACTCAGGAAATAAAATTAACCATTGTAATATAAAGAAGTAT